TCAGAACACAATACCAAACAACACCTATTTGCATCTTGTTTCTTCGTCAAAGTGAATAAAGGGCGGACGCCAAATGTGTCCCTACCGAGGTGCACCTGTCTTCCCTTGGTGTCAACRATGCAGAACGCAAAAATTCCGTCAAGCAGTTGGGCAGCTTTTTCTACCCCAAATTTGTCATAGAGATGAAGGATGACTTCACCATCACACTGGGTCATGACATTGAAGTTGTACTTCTCTTCTAAAGCTRTGTGATTGTAGATCTCACCATTGTAAATAAGATACAAATGAGGCAGGCTCYTGACGTTCAATGGTTGCATGGCAGAATTATCGCCAACGATAGCTAACCGATGAAATGCAAGGCAACAGTTCTTGAAGCTTGGGATGGTTTCCATACGAAAACAATCTGGWCCACGGCCWGAGATTTTCATCACGTGAGAASCATGYTTAAAATAGTCTGGAAACCCAAAGATAGCCCAAATACCACACATGTTGACAAACCCTAACAAACAGGAAACAATTTTTATACCGTTAAATAGCAACAAATAAACAAACCCAAGCATACTACATTACTTGTACATACTCTGCAATACTCGCGAGACTATAATAAAAGTTATTTCCCATACTTTTTACGSAGTAAAATGTATCTTTAATACTTCAAAACTGTTTCTTGAGAAATACCGGCGCAGCTCACACTAATTTACCGATAGCTGGCATCATTTTAACTTTTATACGAACATAAGATAGATCGGAGCTCACAGTATTCCACTGAGTCCCAGACCCTTGTAGTTCGCTCCGTTCAAATATATTTCCTGCTGGTAAAAAGGCCGGGTCCAGAAGATATTTATGATATCAATCATATCACTAAACAGTAGTAGAAGAATGGGCGTCCTGGAACACATACTCATGCGTGACGATTCATTTTTTCATTTTTTTCTTTATTTTATTTTTATTTTTATTTTTTTAAATTCATACTTTAAAAGTGTCCGATTGAAACGTAGATGTTTTGTTAGTGGAAAGATAAGAAAAAAAGTTTGAAGAATTTTTTTCCTGGCACGAAAAATTGTGGCGCGAAAAGTTATTTATATGTCTAGACGTAAGAGATTACGTTGCTGACGTCACAGCAGCTAGTGTATATAGCTTGAGTGTTTTCTGTCTGGAATCAAATGTTGTTGAGTATCATTCCACTGATTTATTGTCGGATTCGTGATACGTTTGACACTCCATTGTGGTATATTCAAGATCGAATTGAGTTTCGAGAAAGACATGGCAACTTCAAACAGAGTTCTGAATCCCAAGTCAATGTTCTTGATTGATGAGCCGGAACAAGTCTCTCGTTCAAAAATCAAGAATATTTAACAAATAGATCTCATTTTTCCGTGCGTGTGTACTCTAATAGATACACAGATGACGTCAAAATGTAGTGAGAACAAAAAAGTACGCACGAGACACACGCACGGAAAAATGAGATCTATCTGTTTTATAMAACAAACAATTAGTTTTGACGTAATCCGTGTATCTATACTTTGATAACACACGAAAGCCAACCAATCAAAACGTCTGATTTTACTGAAAAGTTGTATAAATTGACATATGTATATGCGAATCTTTGTCAGAAATTAGTCTTGGAAGATTTTCAATGTGAAGGTTGCGAAAAAGTATGGCCAAGTCAACGAGATCATCTCTGTTGTATCCTCAGCGACTTTGAAATTTTCAACTTTCACCTTGATGCAGTTAAGGACAAAATTGATAGTCAATTCAATTCAATTTTGAACTAATTTTAATTATTCATGTAAGTTCAGTATGCAGTCGATGGCCTTTGGAAAAAGGCCGAAATATACACTTAAATCCTTTTCGCATTCAAACTATATGCCCAAAAGAATATATTTAAAATTGATATTGATGTTCTCTTTGGACTGTGTTCTCTCATTGAGGACATTTCATCGATCCCGCCGTGTAATGATTTAAGTGAATGGATTAATCAATTGAAAGAAACGTCAGCGAATTCTATCTGTTCAACCTGTAGATCTATGGAGCGGGTTTGTGATGGAACTAGTTCACAAGTGGTGTTATCAATATGAAGACACGAAATCTTTAGAACTAGAAATGAGTGATTTGTCATGGTTGAAGCACTATCTGGGTCATTAATGGACGATTGTTGTTCATCTGGACTCATTGTTATTTTCATCGATGAAGAGCCGATTTTGTCTTATGATTGTGCAATAATCTTAGTTTTTGTTCAATTAACGGTGTTTTATTGAGTCTGGGATTAAATGTGTTTGAGTCATTTTTTTATGTATTCATATAAGAGTTCATTCGCTTGTGTATTTGCCTAAAATTTGTAAATGTTTTTAATTTGATTTTTCATTGACGTTCTGGTTGACAATATGAGTGAAGAAATAGACGATAGTGAGTTGTTTTTTACTATGAAAGAAATGAAGAGGGTCAGTGGATTAGGAACCTTTTAAGACCGTGTTTATTATGTGAACAAGGATGGTGAGGCAATTCATCGGGGGTATGATGAAGAATTTTTTCTGTGGAAATTAGTCATAAAAGCCTACTTTCCAAGGTTGAAGAAAACATATGTCCAAAATCGAAAGTTCGTTTTGAAGGGAGAGGAAGCAAGACAGTTTTTTAAGGTTTCTCAAGCACTTCACTACGCAAGTTTAGTTGCTGWATATTGTTATCGCCTTCAAGATTTAGGACATAGAGCACCCACTCGAGAAGAAAGCAAAACAAAATCGAGATGGTTTGGAAATTGGTAGAAGAGATAGAGACGACTGTTCTAGTTTTTCTCCAAGATGTCGAGCCTTCGGGTTCATTTCAATATATGATGAACAACCTCATGAATATTTTCCCTCATCCGTGAAAGAGAGTTGTTGTGTGAATTATTATTTTTAAACGAAATGTTATAAAATCATTAAATCGTTTTTCAATYGWTCATTGTCATTTTGATTGTCAGACGGTGAAGACATGGGGTGTGGGTGTTTTCCAAGTGTCCCGGATTTTCAACTTCAGAACATTTTTCGACGAATTCGTTGTGTTCTAGCGTGTTGTGGAGGCAAAGTCGTCATTGAGAATTCGCATATTGATGGCCAGTCCAACGGAGAAGTTACTGGAAAAAGCGTACTTCACGATCAATCAAGGAGGGAGTCTAGGAAGCGTCGATGCCCTATACCATGTTGTTAAAAAGAAAAACAGAAAAATCACTCGAAAACATGTGAGGGATTGGTTGAAATCAAAACGAGTTTATTCTTTACATCGTCCTGCAGTAAAACATTTTAGAAGAAATCGAGTTTTTGTGGGACATAAAGATGCCGTATGGGTAATTGACGGTCTTAAAAAGACATATAAATTCACTAAGAAGAGTCACACTGTGGAGTTTGTTCGGCATTTTACATTGTGACATGATGTTTAGTGAGCGTCTCCTTTTGAATAATGTTGATGTGACCATAAAGTTAATTCCCAACACATCTGCCTTCTGCCTTATGTCTGGAGAGACAAGTCCTGATTATAAAATAAGCATTCCAAGTGCAGCGTTGAAAGTGCGCACCGTGAAGATTAGCCCTAGTTTGCAAGTCCTTCACTTGAAAGAACTTGAGAAGGGTATAAATGCCAAGTACCCAATACGCAGGATAGACTGTAGGACATWCACAATCCCTAGAGGAAATCCCTCTRTTCWTAAAGACGACCTTTTCAATGGACACAGACCTCAGAGAATCGTTGTGGTGATGGTGGATTCAGATGCCTTCAATTCGAAAAATAGAATGACYTTGTTGAAGGATGTTCGCGATCGGGCTTAACCCTATCGGGGTTCCTGATACACCGGGTAATTAATTAAATGATGTCCTTCATTTGGTCTGAAGARGAATCTCCTCCCCTTGACGTTACCCAAATGTGTCTTTCGAACATGTTCCATGATTAGAGTTTTGTGATTGAGGAAGACGATGCGCCGGCGATTATATAAAGCAATATTCAAATGATTRAACCATGAATATTCAATGATTGCACTCATCCAAAAAATGCGCGGGAAAAAGGCACAGCAAATGAACCAAAAAAATAAAAATAAAAACACTGAAAAAATAAAAATAAAAGAATCAAAACAAAAAGACGAAGACAAATAGGTTTCTTTCAAACAATTTATTTGAATTTTCCTGATTTTCAAATTCTAAAAAGAAATGTTCTTTCACTTCAGAATGTTCAAACGGAATAAACCCTTTTAGCGATCTCTTTTACGCTGTGTTAGCCTCAAAAATGAACCATGTAATAAATTCGTTTATTCACAACAGYYGTGTGCAAATGCAAGAGATCTGTGAGTGTAGAAGACAATGGAAATAGTTTGAAATGATCACGAGTTTTGTCTACATTTCTGAATATTTTAGCACACAATTGAGGCTAACACAGCGTAAAAGAGATCGCGAAACTCGACTATTAAGAAACAAAACTTCAACTGCTCTGTAAATCTTTCCACAGGCCTCTCGAATGTCAAGTTCATTCAACCATGTACAGGCTTGATCCCCCCTCCCCCCTTGATCAATTTTCCATACCAGGATTATTGTGAAATGTCTTGTTATCCATGGCAAAGGCATTCGCAACATCCATAACCTTTCTCACTGCCTCACTGAAATGAAGACGTAAGTGTTGTCGAGGAGACATCATAAGGCATGCTTCTTCACATCCACAACATCGCTCTTGAATAATTCGCTTAAGTTCCACTACAGTTGAAATTGAATATGATGCAACGAATAAGTCCTCAACAATTGATAATACATCAATTATGTTGTTCTCAAACAAGTTGACAAAAAATAAAGATTTGATTCCAGACAGAAAACACTAGATATATATACACTAGCTACTGTGACGTCAGCAACGTAATCTCTTACGTCTAGACATAAAATAACTTTTCGCGCCACAATTTTTCGCGCCAGGAAAAAAGTTCTTCAAACTTTTTTTCTTATCTTTCCACTAACAAAACATCTACGTTTCAATCGGACACTTTTAAAGTATGAATTTAAAATAAAAAATAAAAAATAAAAAAATAAAAATTAAAAAAATCTCGTCACGCATGAGTATGTGTTCCATAACGCCCATTCTTCTACTACTCTAAAC